ACCATAGCCACCACTGATCAGATCGGTTATGTGTGAGGTCCCTGGAGAGAAACAGAGGAAAGGCTGAGGGCCTCCCCGCTTGGATGCTGCACCCCCGGCTTGGTTTAACCGTATAGTGTAATATCTGTGCCCTAAGCCATCTGTAAGACTCATGTTTGGGTTTCCAATGACTCATTCTTACTTTCTTGATCCAGTTCTTCTCACACGGGCTACGAGTTTTATATATTTAGCCAGTGTCCTATGGGGTGCTAATGACCCATGAGCTACAGAGACTCAGCAAGCAGCCAGAAGGTTGAACAAGAACTGCCTTTGCCTTGTTGCAGACGGAGGAAGAGAGCGAAAGTAGGGGAGAAAAAAGAAGGGCAGGGAGAGAAAGGGGCGCAGGTAATAGCAAGAATTTTTTCCATTCAAATTGTTCTCTAATCATTTTTTTTCAGCTTTAATTGACTTTATTGGTACATTTTAGGGATGCAGTACAGTTACATTCATTGTTGGGAATTTGTACCTCTACATGACATGTCTTGGTTCTCATTGTGTCCTCTAATCATTTTTTATGAGTCGTTGCCTAGCACCTTTCTGCTAAAGGCTGCTCCTGCACATGAAGAAGAAAATGAAATTGCAAGTTTCTATCAATGCAAAATCTTAAAACCAACCGTTTGGTCTTGGTTCAACTGTTTGTTGGGTGTTTAATTTTTTTTTAAGATGTGCAGGATAGCAGTTATGAGTGTATATGATATACAAATAATATAAGGTGGATTTTGGTAGTAAAACTATATAAAAATAGTATATAGGTGACATATAAATACATTTATTTATAGTTTTAATACCCTATAAAGAACAGAGTGTTCTGCAAATAAGATAAAGTGTTCTGGATTTATGTGCCCTGAAGCAGACTGGGGTGCCTAGACCTAGAAAAGTATGTGTTATATTCCTCTAAAATACCATGAATAGAAAATATTTATGAATAAAGGATAGTCCTAAAATGCACAAATTCTGTGGGTAAAGTAACTATGCAGTTATTTATAAACCATATTGCTGAAATCAACACTCATGTTTGAGGATCCAAACAAGTGTTTCACTCTTAGGATCACATACGTTGTTTTGCCCCTGAATTATGTGCTGGGCAAGGCTCCTAACAGCTCTCTGAAACTTGAACCTTCCAACAAATGGTCTTTGAGTCTCTCTTTGAATGTTAGGCCCTGAGTTCAACATAAAATATTAGCCTCAGTTATTTCCATGTAGATCTATGTGATGGAAATGGATGGACCCATAGGTTTTTAAACACAGAGATACTTTATAATGGGAATTTAGATTACCTTTATGGAAGTGCAGCTATGCAATGGTATTCCTAAAACTGTATTCTAAACTCTTTGAATCTTGTAAGATGGAATATGTCATAATGTTTTATATTGTAATCCTTAACTGCAAATTACTCAATTACACACTACCCACGGCTGGAGAGGGAAGGAAAATCCCCTTTCTATATACAGCCCTCACTCATGTTAGGCATTTTATTTATATTCCCAGTTTAATAAAAATCCCCTGCTGTGCAAATGTTCTCCATATGTGGAGACAGAGGGCTAGCATGTACAAAACCAGCTCTTTGTGCTGTTTCAAAATTGTGTATATGTAACATTTTGCCTATTTTTAAAATTGCAGAATATAAAATTTTGCCACTTTTAATTTTTTAATCAAGGTAGAAAGGTTACATCAAGAAATTCAGATTTCATCTTCCTATTTTAACCTTTGTCTAATCTTATGGGTCTTCAATTCCCCATGTAAAAGTGCGATATTCTCCCAAGAGGGGGATATGCCAAAGAGAACTGGCACAGGGCCAGAGAGCTGGGAAAATGAACACTCTGAAACCAGGGAAGAGAAAAAGACGAGGGTAAAGCTGATTCAGGAGTGGATGACTTTTTAGGCAATAACCACAAAAGGAATCAGGAAGATATTAGAAAAGAATTAAAATAGAAACAGCAACTGTAGTGAAGGTGTCTTTATCACAAAAAAGTGAGACTGAATCCTGGCTCTCCCCCTTACTGGCCAAATCCATTGGAAGAGATATTTTTGTCTCTGTATTTTCATTCGCTCCCATGGAAAGCACGGAAATTCCCATTTTTGGAGCTGTCAGAAAGGAACCTGTGCCATGACCTTCACCCTGCCTAAGCAGGTCTGCATTTCCCATTCGACTCGCCCCTGGCCCTGCTCCTGCCTGAGCTGGTACAGCCGCAATGATGATGTCTGCGTAACCCGAATTGGTCCTCCCTCTTTTAACCTTGTCACTATACATAATCTCAAACATGTACTGTAAAATCTAGCCATGACTTATAGTATATCTCTGTGTACTATGACAGTGTCAACAATTACAAATCAGGGCCCTTTCTCAACTGTATCCCAATTTTCTTTCTGCCCTTGTATTAACTTGAAGCCATTTCACCTACAAAGGGTTATTTAGTGTAGATCTCTAAAAGATAAGTGCTCTTTCAAAACATATATGTTTAATATATAGCACGGCAAATATTTAACATTTATATCTTAATATCATTAAATATATAGTATATTTTAATTTCTAATACCTTATATATTTTTATAACTTGAGTTAGTATATATTTTGCCAAAAAAATTATAAAAGTTTTGTTGTTTTGGGGGGAGGATTTTTGTTTGTTTGTTCTTTTTTGAGACAGGATCTTGCTATATAGTTCAGGCTGGTCTTGAACTCACTATGTAACCCAGGCTGGCCTCAAACCTAGGGGGATCCTCCTGCCTCAGCCTCCCAAGTACTGGAATTTCAGGTGTGTGCCACCGTGCCTGCCAAAAGTTGTGTCTGAAATCTCTTAGTCTGCTAGCTGACATGCTCTCCTGTCTTTGTATTATATGCAAATTAGAGGACTCCTCAGATTCAGATTGATTTTATTGCTGTTGTTGACATTTCTGTTACTGTTACTACCTATGTCCACTAAGTTGTATCAACACCTTCGGTAAGTTGTATCATTACCAGGTGGTATTATCATTGATGATTTAATTTTCAAAAATTTTAAGCAACTCTTAGAAAAAAATCTGAGCAAATCAGTATACAATCCTCCTTCCACTGAAATAATGAGTACTTATTTCCTGGAAAATTCGGTATATATTAAAACATATAGAATATTCTGTATTCTGTATGTAACATGGAGCTAGACTTTAGACTTAGATGATTATAATCTATTTTCCACCTGTATGAAAGTCTAGCAAGTCAGATGGTACGTACGAAAACTCTTTACCAAGTAGTACTACCTGCCAGATGGCAGAGAGTCTAGCATTTCTGTCTCCTGCCACTAGCATCCCTCCCCGGTGATTATGACTAATTTCATTGTCCTCTGATATTTAAAAAATTCTCCCTGTGATTCATTTTGCCTTCTGTTGACAACCACTGAATTAATTTGAGTAGCAACAAAGGGGAAATTGGTTTTTGCTACATATATGCAATAATTTGAGGAAAGGAAAATCCTGTGTATGGAGAAGGGTCATTGAAATATCCACAAATTTAAGCTATCATAAGTTTTTCTCTATGGACCAATTTTTCCCCAAATGATGCTGGAAAATATGAATAGGATGTCTGATGAAACAACTGAGGACATAATAAATTCATGCGAGTACATGTAGTTTAAACAGAGACTTTTTAACAGCTAAGAAACTGTCCAGACTGGTAAGGTAGGGAAGCTAGGATAGTGGCAAGAATGATAAAATCATTTTTAAATTCTTTTCCAAAACTATGTATAGTTTACAAGTCTTCTCGCGCTAATTTTATATAGCAGGTTCATAGCGATGATAAGTAATTGTGCTTGATCTCCAAGACAGAGAAAATAGAGTTAAATTTTACTTTCCTATGGTTTAACTGTCTTATTGTGTAATGTACTTCTTGACTTTCAACTTATTAAAACTGCTTTATTTATTATCCTTTGTACTTACATATTTCTCATTATTCTCAATAAAAGCCATTTTCAAATCTAGAATGGAAGATATATTTTCATTCTTCTTTAGATCAGGAGTTATTAATTCATGGGTCCTAGCTTGCTTGTGGCATATATTAGATGCTCATTAGACATTTATTAAATGAATTCACTCATCTGGTAATCATTGTAATTAATACATCTAATTCCTCTGTAGAAACACATATTTCATATCTGCTATTTTTTTCTTATACCATCATAATCATGAAATATTACGTGTGGGGCTTTTACACAGGGTAGAAATTAAATTAAGTGATTTCTTCTAAATCATGCTGCTGGTAAAACCAGAAGAATTTAAGTTTACTGGCTTTACTTTTACTATTTCAGTTAACAGTCTTCTTTTTGCCTTAAATTTATATGTTTTTTTATTTCTGATGCCTACCTGTTTTCATCACTGCAAAGCATTTGTTCAAAGCAGCGAAAAGAAAGAGCAGAAGGAGAAGACAGGACATGAGAGTACAGAAAGAAAGAGGAAGGAGTTGTGATAAATTTCCTCAATGACCTTGACATTCAAAAATCCAAAATGGGATATTAAATACTTCGGCGTCAAAGTCTGCCTAATGGGAGACACAGTTCAACTCAAAGTGAGTTACTGTATTTAACGTCTGCAAATTGCAAAGCAGACGCAGCATCAACATAGAAACTGTTCGGAGACTGGAACCTTGTAACCATGGAGACGTCACCACCTAGTGTTCTGAGCGGCAGTGTTGACCAGATGTACAAGTGATGGTCACAAAGGTCACTTTGCTGGCCACTGCCCCCACTCGGAGATGCTTCCCGAGATCGCTGCACACCTGCACTGTGCTTTGTCTCATACCCTCAGCCCACATAAGCATTGCCCATGTCGGTAGTTATGTATCCGCATGAGAATTCTCTGGCACTACTGTGGTAAAGAAAATATTAAATCTGGTGAACTGAAGATAGCTGGATTAACAGGTGAGGTCACCTTAAAAAGAAACGCTGCCTTGAAATTCAGTTCTATTCATTGCTGTTATGGTCTGTTTTTCCTAGGAAAGAAAAGAGACTTCCGTTTTAGCCAAGGTGAAAGACACACAAGACATCCAGGAAGCTTCAGAGGCCCCAAAGGGTGAAGTTCACAAGCAGGAAAAAGACCCAGAAGCAGCAGAGCAGTAAGAATGGCACAGACGGGGAGAGCAGTGTTTCTGAGTCCTATGGGGATCATGATGGGGGTACCTGACCTCATTTAAAAATAATAAATTACTGAGTACCTAGGAAGTAATTAGAACTCCAACGGGTCCCGCAGATTTTCTAAAAATAATGAATCAGCGCATCTATTTCCTCAACCACCATCCTGTCACTGAGTGATGGGAAGACTCTGCTGGACAGCTCTCTGCCACCTGAGACCTGGGTGAGAATCCAGTCCCATTCAACTCTTTAAGGCCACTGGTGTGGAACTTCTTCACTGGTGTGGAACTTCTTCACTGCTTGACTAACGTGGGGACAAAAGATTGCTAGAATTTGGGTTTTGGATATGTCGATAAAGGATGTTATATAAAATTACAGCTCCATTTTTACTATGAATACATATCATTCTGTCAACTAAAGCTTTGGCATTGGTTTTCCAAGGTTTTGTAAAACATGGATTTTGTTATTGAATATACACAATTTAAAGCTATTTGTTCCTTTGCTACTAGATTTCCTGTGGTTATTGTTCAGTCCACATCTGCTTTTTGTTTATTTGTTTTATTTATTTGTTGTGGTACTGGGGATAGAAACAAATGCTGTAACATTGAGCTACACTCCAGTAATTGTTTTGTTTTGTACCAGGGATTGAACTCGGGACCTTGTGCTTGCAAGGCAGGCTGCAGAACCACTGAGCTAAATCCTTGGCCCCAGTAACTTTTAATCTCATGTGACATAGGGTCTTACTAAGTTCCCCAGGCCAGCCTCAAACTTGTCATTATCCTTCCTCAGCCTCCTGAATAGCTAAGGTTGGCATGTATTGTACCACCACACTTGGCTCCAAGCCTGTTTTTTAGTATTTGATTTTAGAAGTGAGAAATGATTTTTATCAGAATCTACAACAGTAACCTTGAGATGCTGCGACTGAGCTTTTGTAACTGCTCCTGTTACAGAGGGAGCAAAATACCAAGAAGGGGTCTGGAAAATTCCTCGTGCTAAAGCAAAAGCTAACTTAGCACTAAGAAAAATCCTCTTCCAAAGGTAGCTGAGTGGGTGATTCAGACAATGGGCTGTATCACTTGTGTCTGTTCCTGCAATGTTATTTCTTCCCAAGATGTGTTTAGACATCAGAAGGCTCTTAGTCAAGCACAAAAATAAAAATCACCCTGTGTCCCTGTGCCAGATTTTTCTAACTGTAACATTTATGGGGCTTATTTGGGAATCTTTTGTGAAATTGTTTTTTTAGAAATGCTGTTGTTTTACTGAAGGAGAAAAAAATGAGAGCTTACAAAAAGAGCATGCTGAAGAGATACAGCCCATGAAATGAAACTCAGATGTGAGGGATGTTGAAAGAGAAAAACACTTTCCCTGCTTGTTCTACACAATGAGCGGGAGAAGTCGTCATAGGATCCTGTTGGGTTGGATGGAGATTATGTTTATAATTCGACAGTCTGTCTCTGTAGTCTCTTTCCCACTCTCTTCACAGCGTACTAAAGAGCACATCTTCAAGGGTTAGAACTTTTCTGACAAAACTGAACCCTGGGAGTTATCAGCTGAATGGCGGGTGCCCAAGCCTAGCATTTTGCTGATAAAAATGCAGCTTCCAAAGCCATTGTCATTTAATTTCATTAAAAATCTGTGTAAGATGGCTGTGACTTTTGAGAGATATATTTAGAGGAGTCTCATTTTTATTAGAAAGCTCTCCAGCTATAAGATTTCTACTGCAGGAACTTCCACAAGGAGAACAAAAATGATCGCAAAGACCTCTTGGTAAACATAGTGAGCACAACATCTGCGACGCAGTGGACAAGGGAGCTGCAGACCCTCGTCTGCCATAGAAACTAAACAAAAACAACCCCACTACAGGCTGGCACAAACGCTTCGTAGTGCCATGGGAAATAGATCAAAACAGAGATGATCCACAGAAGCAAAATATTTCACTCCTGACTTCAGTGGATAGATATGCAGCCCCCAAAAGGGACGATCAATGAACTCATGATTTGCTCAGTTTTTCAGTGATGAAGGGTTTGGGACCTCTGGAAACTGTTCACAATTTCTGTTATTAAATTGATTTTATTGGTACCTTTAAGGCATACAATATAATTCCATTCATCATTGGAAATTTGCACCTTTCCATAGTCCATCTGGGTTTTCACGTTCTCCCCATTTTCCTGCCTTCCCTTTAACCCCTCCCTCCCTCTCCACAAAGATTTTGTTTCCATTTCTTTTTTCTCATATTAATTCCATGCCCTTCTTTCTTTCTGCCCACCCCACCCCGCCCACTTCCCCTTCCCCTTTGCACCTTTTCTTCCTAGTTCACATTATCTATTATGCCTTTTAGTCCTTATTTATACTTTCAGTTTCTCAAACTAGAGAAACAGTTTGGTATTTATACATGCATGTCCTAGTTATTTCACTTAAGTGTATCACCTCAAGGTGCATCCATTTAGCCAGCTATAAATGTCTCTGATTTCTCATGTTTAAAGGCTAAGTAGACTCCATTTTATTTTTAAAAACACACACATTGCTTTTATCCAGTCTCCTGTTGATGGGCAATTGGGCTGCTTCCAAGTTTTAGCAATTACAAATTGTGCTGAATGCACAAATATTGTGAATGCACACATATTGCAGTGGTACGATCCTTTTAATTCTTTGGGGAAGACACAGAGCAGGAGGATAGCTGGGTCAAATGGGACTTTCAATCCTAGTTCTTTGAGGTGTCTCCATATTGATTTCCACAGTGGCTGCACCAGTCTGCCCTCCCACCAACAGTGCAGCAGTGTTCTTTCCCCACAAGCCCTACCAGCATCTGTTACTCGTTGATTTCATGATAGCAGCCATTCTTTCTGGGGTGAGGCAGAATCTCTCCAATCACCAGAGATGTTGAACATCTTTTTATATGTTTATTTGCTATTTCTACTTCTTTGAGAAATGTCTGTTCATTTCAGATGCCCGTTTTTAGGTTGGGGCTTTAAATTTGGGAGGTCTGATTTTTTATAAGTTCTTTCTATATTCTAGACAGTAGACCTTTGTCTGAGGAACAGCAGATGAAAATGTTTTCCCACATTGTGGGTTGTCTCTTCACACTGTTGGTATCGGGTAAACCTCCGGCTGTTGCTTGTGTGCCTGTGTAGCTCTTTTCCAGGCAGGCCCTTGGTTGTGTCTTGAATGCCCGAGCCACTGGGGTTGGAGCAGAGCCCTGGCTGGAATCTGCCTGCAGCTCCACCGCTCTGGACCACACACTGCTCCCCAGGGTCTGTGTGCACTCAGCAGTGCTATGGGCTGGGCCTCTGGTTGAAGCTTGTGCACCTGTGCAGCTCTTTTCTGGGCGGACTTTGGCTTGGGTGGGTTTCCCCAAGCCTCTGGGGTTGGGGCGGAGCCCTGGCTGGATTCTCCCTGTGGTCATGCTGCTCTGGTCCACACAGCTGCTCCCCAGGATCTGCCCACAATTTAAACACACACACACACACACACACACACACACACACACACACACACACACTCTCACACATTTTTTGGAGGAACTGGGAAGGATATCAGTATGCCATAATAAAATGGAAAACATTTTCATGAGCCGCATCATGAGAAATTGTTGTAATTTGTAATATTTTTTGGGGGTACTGGGGATCAAACTCAGGACCTTGCACTTGCAGGGCAGGCAGGACACACTGAGCTAAATCCCCGGCCCTAGGACTCTTTGGAGGTAGGACTGAAACCATGCTTTTCTCATAGAGGGTGGCTTTCTGGAAGAATACTCTGTAAACAATAAAAGGTTGTGCACAGATAGGAGATGTGTCTTCACGAGGATAACTGTGTTAAGCTTGGAGTGACAGGGCCAAACAGAATACCACTCAGGACAAAAGCTGTCCTTTACACTAAGCACACATCATGTGCTAGGCGTGGTGCTATGGAATTGTCCTGTCTTCACAGAGGTGGACTTTCAGGGCTCCCAGAGGCACAAGGTCAAGGACAGGAGGTGACGGAGCTAGGTCACAGTCTGCACCTCCAACCTTTCCAGCCAAGGCCTGATGTCAGGTCTACTTTCCTTATGAACCCCAAAGAAGGAAATTAACAACTTCCTTCCTCAAAGGCTGGCAGAGGACTGCCATTGCCTCATTAAGACCTTGTCCCATACAATATCACTCAGAAAAAATGTTTTTCTGAATTTTATGCAGTGGAATATTTTGACAACTATGTCCAGTCTAGAAAACTAGAGTGGGGCCAATGTGCTAAAGGTGGGTGTGAAGTCACCCAAGGCCCCCAGGGTTCCGGGGAATGGCTGGAAGCCGTTTACCCTGTAGACTGGCACCTACCCTGAGAAGCTCAGGGTAAAGCACCATGAGGCTAAGGCTCTGAAGGCGTGAGGTGGAAATGCGGCAGCCCTGTGTGGGCTGACAGTCTGGGGTGAGCTGCGGGAGCCCAGGGCTGCTCTGTGCGCTGGGCTCTGGTCTCTTCATCCAAGGTATCACTCGTTTCACCCCACCTCTGGTCAGTAGTCACTGTTCACCCCTCACAGGGTAGAAAACGTATCTTCACTTACAATTAGTGAGTTTAGTATTTAAAGATTTGAATTCCAAGGTTAAAAGCTGCAGCAGCCTTTCCTTTTTCTTGCCCTTATGAAAGGCACCATCTAGTTTGTTCTTGCATCAGCAAAAGTACAATGTTCAGATCTTGGAAAAGAACCAACAGCAGATCTGTACTGCTGATCCCAGTAAGGGGGTTGGCGGGGTGGCTCACAGTGAAATTATCAAGTGAACCTCCTTGTCATCGATGTCCGGGATCACCCCAACTGAGGAAGGAACCATGGGTACGGTATTCTTGCCAAATAGCTGGAACTCATAGCGGACGAGCTGCTCCCAAAAGCCAGTGTCGGGTCGGATGATGGGCTGGCAGGACTTGGCCCCATGTGTGGCCATCCAGCAGGGACACGGCATGGTACTTCATGAGGTAGGCAAGACACGGGGCAGCTGAGCGACCCAGCCAGCAGCACAATGCAGCAGTGTGCGGCCCTCTTTCATCTCCACAAATGGATGTGGTCGGCAACGGGGTCAAAGAGGTCTAGGTGCATCAGCCACAGGTACTTGCATGTACTGGATGTTCTCATAGAAGGGCTTCACTACCTCCACTGAGACATCGATGACTGTGATGATCTGGTTGCTGGACAGTAGGCGCTTACTGTTGGCAGCTGCCCCACAGCTGACATACAGGCTTCTGGTGATCTGGCAGAGGCCGCTGACCGAGAGCTGCAGGGACTGGTTGGGAAGTCACGCATGAGCGATGTCATCAAGGCAGTCAGTGGTTTCTCCTCCAGGAGAGAAATGGGCTGTGCTGGATCTTTAGAGAAATCACAGCCTCTGAGCCCTGGCACAGCAACGCGAGGGTCTCGGGGTTACCCACCTCACGATCCCACCAGTGCCACTGCTGACTTTGACGAAAAAGGGTCAGCTTAGATCTCTGCAGATGACTCCAGTCCGCCCACGCCCTCTCCATGGTGATGACGCGCCTAGTCAAACCAAGGCGGCCGCGGAGGGACTTCATGGCCACTTTGACTTTCTTTGTTTATTCTCATTGTGTACACAGGAAAGAACATAAACTCAGAGCTCCCCCGATGAGACATCTATCTTCAGTGCATTTTTTCTCCACGAAGACAGACTCGCACACCACATCACTGCCATTGTCACAGTCGTTATCCTCTGACCTGTCTCTTGGCTACTATCTGTCCAGTCCTCAGTTTAGCAGAGCAACTGTATCCACAATGGCACCACTGGCTTCAAAATCTACTTTCATGAGCTCTTCCCGAACAGACAACCGTCTCGGTAAACAAAATATGTATCGAATACTTGGACTATTTTTAAGCATGTGTTTGAATAAATTCTTCATGTGCCTCACAGCCAGAATGATGTTTTATTATTTGTCTGCAATGATGCTAACTTCTCAAAGCCATGTGCAGAATAACTTTTCTGTTGCCATCGATACCAGACCTGTAGTCTTAAGTTGAGGCCTTATAAAAACGTGTTCAAAGATATTAAACCATGATTAATATGTGTGGAGTTATGACTTTTTGTGGACTGACTGCTAGCATGCTCTATAGTTACTGGAGAATTAAAATTTCCAGTGCAGATTATTAGAAGGCTGCCAGGAAAATTAAGCAACATATTGAATACTTGGTGCCTTTAGGAGACTTACAGATCAAGTAAGAAATAGATAAGAAAGAGCAGAAATATAAAATAGGTAATAAAATGATAGAGAGAAAAAAGCAATAAAGAGAACTTAAAGGAGAGGAAAATGTGAATAATACACTGATTTCAAGAAGAAAAGTTTGGATTTTTCAGCATGGCACTCAGCAATCCCCACAGTTTAAGGGGCCTGTTCTTCACCAGGTTTAGAGAATTTCCATGATTTGCAGGAACATCACTGTCCCTGGAAACACAGAATCAATTGTTTTTCTACCTTCTACAATACAAGGCACAGGGTCCCCTTTTCCACATCCACAAATGGGGATTAATCCCCATTCACAGGATTATTGTAAGAGTTAGGTAAGATAAATATAAAGATGGCCTACCATGTAATCTAGCACATAATAAGTATGCAATAAAAATTGATTGTGAATGTTAGAATTATTTAGATTTGAAAGCTGTATTTCAATTAGTGATCAGCTGACAGGTTTCAGACTGCTACTACAAACACTCCCACGAATATCTGGTGCGTCCATTGCCTCTGCCATTTTGTGGACAGTTATGGTCTGGCTGCTTCTCAACTATATTTCACTTTGCTTCTGGAATTGTCTTAGACCTTCGACATAGGGTCATACCAGTTTTATCTTGTTGCCATTATGGTCATATTCCATATGTTCCACATTTGTATGACTAAGATAAATTTTTTAAGAAGCCTTCTAGGTTTACGCTAGCAATAACCAGAATCCATATGCTTAAAAATGCAAATACAAATTTTAGACTTAGGAAAGGAAGATTTCCCATCACACACACACACAACCACACATATCCATATATATGTAAGAATATACGCATATACATGATATATAGAGATATATGTATAAATATTCATAGCATATGTACTATATGTGAGTTAAACTGTAACAACTCTTAACAGTGTGCAATAAGCAAAATTTCATGACTTCCCTTTGCAAGGCAAGAGATGCATTGAGATTTCATCTTCTTCCGTTGGTGTAGATTGTACGTCTACAGAAAGATGCCTGGGCCCATTGAGATTTGTTCCATTTGGTTCATCCCTCTGTTGTTCTAGGTGAAATAAAAGCTGGGAGAAAAAAATTAATCTTTCTTTTCCTTTGGAACTCCAAGACTTTCATCACTCGGGATGAGCTGTTACAAGGATCCCATACGTTATCCTTCCCAAAAGGGATTTAAGGATTAAGTAGAAACTTTCTTGACTGGGAACAAATTCAATTTTAAATGTTTTTTTTTTTTAGAGTCTTTTTCATAACTATTAGCTGAGGGTGTAGCTCAGTTGTAGAACATGTACCTTGGTATGCTTAAGATTCTAGATTCAATTCCCAGCACCAAAACAACCACACACAAAAAAAAAGAAAAGAAATTTATCATTTTTTAATACCTTTAAATTCTTCTCCTTGCTTTGCCCTTGATAAAGATATAAGAATCTAAAGCAAAGTCTAGATTGTCTAAATCCTTTGAGAACTTTTAGCTGTCGTGTTTTGGGTAATAGCTAAATGCTAAACACTTACCTGTGTTATCTCCAGTCCTCAAGTCCACAAGGTAGCACTGTCCTTATTTTATGCTCAGGAAAATTGAAACATGGGAAGTTTAAGTCATTTGGCTTGGTGAGCAGTGAAGCTGGGATACAACTGCGGACCTGCCTCCATCCGGGGCATGTAGTTTCTTCCACTTCCCCACGATGTACCTCTGTCGTTGAGCTTTGCTCTTGGCTGCCACATTACTGCACTCATTCAGTGTGGTTTCATGTGCAAAACCAGGAAGCCTATTTCATAATTTGATCTGAATAGTGAAAATTCACAGTAGCAAACTCCTCGAGGCTTATAGAATCTAATCACACCTTACTTTATCTTCCTAATAAAGTACATATGTTAGTTGATAGAGAGAGGCTTGCAGTTACGGATCATAATTTGAGGAGTAAGTCTGACATGCAATAAGGCTATATTACATAGAAGTTCCCCAAATTTGGCAGACTCAAATATTTTGCCTATTCAAAAACTACCAAATAGTCTTAACTAGTGATGTTGCTAATAATGCAATTGATATTACAGCACAACTAAATAATCACTTAGTCTTTATGCAAGTAATACTAATCACTTAGGTATTACTTCTAAATAATCACTGAATAGTCAAGCTAATAATATAATTGATAGTTTAAGATTTGCGAATAATCACTAAGAATTGATAATGCCATTAAAAATACTCACTGGTTATTTTAGAGGCTTTCATTATGACCTCTCACTGAGTTTGACAGAGACAGTAAAATATACAAAGAAATATAGTTTTGTAGAAGCAGGGAGTAAAGAGAATAACTCAGGGTTCTTTTAATGTTTGCATATTTATTGTCATCTCTTGTTTGCCTCCCTCTTTAAATTCTTCGAAAGGAAACAGCTGCTCATTACTTTCAAAGAACCTGACCCTTGACTATGAGTTACCTGTGTCTGGAGATGGAGAGGATTATTTCCTCTCTTTGTTTGGTGATTCCAAGAAACTTACTTCACCCTCAGGCTATGCCAAGGATCCTTACAAACACTTCTCTACAATTCTTGAAGAAGTTGGTAAATCTACATCCAGGTAAACACTCTATTTGAATTATTTAGTATCTCCTACTGGGTCAGACCAGTAAGTTAACAGAAAACTAAGTCCTGATCTGTTGTTACATCTGTTTCATCTTAAACCCTAAGCATTTTCGTAAAATATAACTGCTTATTGTTCTGAGCAATTAAAGGCAACTGATACAACTTGCTAGAGAACTAAATGAAAATGTGAATTCTTCAAAATTGCCAGAGGAAATACTGCTATATAATATCTACAAATAGAGCCAGCTCAAATATTCAAGAACCTCTCTTATTGTGGGTGAATCATGCAAATGGACTTAACAACTTTTTCTTCTAATAGGCCCTTGAATTTAAAACAGAAGAAGGGGTACAAATTTTTTTTCTCATTCACCTTTTATTATTGTTGTGTTGCATCTGTGGCAAAAAAAAAAAAATTGGAAAGAAAGTTGATATTAGGACTTTAAAAGAGCCGTCTTGTCTAGTCATTTACTTAACTCTTCTTTATTTATTACATGAAGAATAGATAGAAATGTTAGTAATAAACACATGCTGGCATTAGATGCTAGAGAGCTAAAAGAAGTTGCTTGGTAAAGTGTCAGATATAAAGAAAAATGTCTTCTCTTATGTCGTGCCCCTAAAACCAATCACTCATGCCCTACTGCCATTTAACTGGGAATCAAGAAAACCTGTGTTTGCTCCACTGTCTCAAAACACTTCGTCAAATTGTTCATTAAGTACCTACCATGTTTAAAATTATGAACTAGTTAAAGCAAAAAAATTACTAATCTATAAATATGATATTAAGAACATACAGTCAGATCAGTGAAGACCTACAGGTGACCCTTGAGAGGAGAATAAGATACCACAACATTCAGAGAACTTGCTTTCTGCCTGCAGTGATCTGGGAAGATTTTGTGAAGGAGTGACTATTTAGAGTGGGCTGTGAAAGGGGAGTGACCTTGGGATATGCAAATTTGGAAACTGAGAATATCTAAATCATTGGTTTTCAACACCCAATAGAATCACGGAGGGGGGAGTGCTTTTAATGTCCTGACTCTACCTGACACTGAGTCAGAATGTCTGATGGTAGAATTGGGCATCTATTGCTTGTTTATTTGTTTTTGTAATCCCATGGCGATTTTAAGGCACAGCCAATGTTGAGAACCATTTGCCTAGAGCAAAACAAGAGCAAAATGGGCGAGGCAGAAAAGCTAAGGAACAAGTACAAAGCAATCCTTGTGCAATGTGACTCTTAAGCAGTGCCTGAGGAGGTGTAACAGGGTAGAAGAGAGATCACAGTGAGCCTTGAATGCCAGATTGAGGGATTTGGACCTCACTTTGGGCAATGGAAAACAATGAGAATATTTTCACAAATGAGATGATACAACTGTGATCCAGAACTTTTCATGAGTATTTTACACATGGATGTTGGATTTTTGTCAGATACTTTTTGTGCATCTACTATAAAGACAATGATTTTTCTTAGTGAGTTCCAGGTCAGTCTCAACTACACAGTGAGATCCTGCCTCAAAAAAAAACGACTGATTTTTCTTTTCCAATCTTAAAGCAACTAACTGCATTCTTAAAATAAACCTCATTTGGGTAATGTATATTCTTTTCATATATTGTTGAATTCAACATGCTAAAATTTTGTCTCAAGCTTTTGTGTCTAAATTTGTAAAAATATTGCTCTGTATTTTCTTTTCCCGTAATGTATTTGTCTGCATTGCTGTCAGAGTAATGCTCATTTCATGGAATAATACAGAATGCATTCTCTCCTTTTTCTAGAATAATATCCTTTGTATAACTTGAATCCTTTTAAATTTGTGGAAATTTGTTTAATATTCAGGATACTGATCTTTTTGATAAAAGCTCAGGGTGTACTTGAAAAGAACGCGTATTCTGCTGCTGCTGACTGATGTGCTTTATAAATGTTATGCAGGTGTCTTTTGCTTTTCTTCTTTCTACTTCTATCAGTAACTGAGAGGGAGTATTAAAATATGCTACAACTGTGGATCTGTTCATTTCTTTTCTGCAATTCAGTTTTGTTTCATGTTTTGAAGCTTTGTTATGAGCCTCCAAAACATTTAAGAACCCTAACTGTATCTTCCTTATGAATTCAACCTTGTAGCCTTATGGAATGACTTCGTCCCTGACATTATTCTTTGCTCTGGAGTCTATTTGACCAAATATTAATATACCACTGCCGGTTTCTTTGTACTGATTAGCATGGTATATGTTTTCCTATCTGTTTACTTCTAAAACTATACATTCTTACTTAGAATACATGTTTTATAATTTTTTTTTTTTGGTACCAGGGATTGAACTCAAGTTCTTGTGCTTGCAAGGCAGGCAGGCAGCGGAACCACTGAGCTAAAACCCAGCCCTAGAAGACATGTTTTATAAATTGCATATAGTCAGGGCTTGCTACTTTAGCCAATCTGACAATCCCCATCTTTCAATTTAGGCATTTATTCATTTATACTTAAGTGACTATTAATACAGTTATGATTAAATCTACCATCTTGTTATTTTTATTTTTGTTCCAATTCTTTTGTGTTCTATTTTTCTCTGCTTTATGTCTTGTTTTGAATTAATTGAGAATTTTTATTAATTTCATTTCTTTCTTTTGTTGAGTAACTAGCCATAATTAATATTTTCATAGTTGATTTCAGTTTTATGTGCTAAATCTTGAATCCATGATCCAATCCTCTTGGGAATACAAACCTTATAATAGTATACTTTTATTTTTCTCGGCCTGACCTTTGTCATACATTTTCTTCTACATGTGATATAAAATGTAATATAAACTATATACTACACTGTCATTTTGTTTACTCAAAAAAAATTTTTGTGGTACTGGGGATCGAACTCAGGACCCTGTGCTTACCAGGCAGGCAAGGTGCCACTGAGCTACATCCCTGGCACTAGTCAATTCTTTAAATAAAATGTAATGATAAAAAGTCTTATACAGTATATTTACACTGATATGTATGGGTGCTTTTTTCTTCTTCTTCTCATGTCTGAATTGTGTCTTTCTGTCCAGGATTATTATCCTACCATCTGTAAAGAATTTCCTTTAATATTTATTGCACTGTGGGTCTGCTTATAGTAAATTGTTTCCTCAGCTTTTGTATGCCAAAAAAAAACAAAAACACTCTTGATTTTATCTTTGTTTAAAGAAGACATTTTCCATGGGTAAAGAATCCTGTGTTGATGGTTTTTTTCTTCAGTACTTTAAGGTGTTGCTCTACCATCTTACAGTCTACATTGTTTCTTTAAAAAAATTGCTGTCATTATTATGTATTTGTTTCTCTGCTTTAAACATGCCTCCTTTTCTCCATTGTGGGCTTTAAAATGTTCTCTTTATTGCTGGCTTGGGAGATTTGATTATGATGTGTCTTCGTGTCGTTTTATTCATATTTCTTAAACTTGGGGTTCTTAAGCTTCTTTGATATGTAGATTTACAGACTAAATTTGAAAAAAAATTAGCCATTATCTTTTCAAATATTTTTTGCTCTCCCCTACAAGGGACTCCAACAACACTCATACTAGGCCACTTGAAATTGTACTGCACTTTTCTAATGCCGTTTTTTTCTTTCTTTCTTAGAATTTTTCTCTGTGTTTCTTTTTGGATATTTTGTTACTATGCCTTTATATTAGTTAGGGTTCATTTGGAACAGAGTCTACCCCCATACCCTGAACATGATCAATCTCATATTTAGAGGAATAGAATCAATAAGAAATATATGTGTAGTTGGGAAGGGAATTTATTAGGTAGAGTTACAGGATCAGAGGCAGAAGAATTCACAATCATCATTTGCCTGCTGAAAAGCAAAAGAGTCCAGTAGCTGCTCAGCCCAAGAAGATGGAAGCTTCACAGCAGGAAAACTCAAGGATGCAGCACCAGTCCAGGTTCAAAGGCTTGGAAGCTTACTATAGAGGCAAGGGTGTAAGTCTACACCGGAAGGCTGAAGGAACTAGAGTCCAGTGTCCAAAGGCGATGGTGAGGATGAGAGCTCTTCAGAAATGGGCAAAACCCTTCTTTCCCTTTTTATTCTACCCTTGCCACAAGCCTGTTGGTCGGTGCCACCCACATCCAGGACGGACCTTCCCCCCTCAGTTGCTGGCATGCGTGTCAGTCATTCCCAGACACACCCAGAACTCTGCTTTACACTGCTAGGCTTTCTCAATCCATTCAAGTTGATGTATCATGTTTAATAGTCAGACTTCAGGTTCACTAATCTTATCATCTACAGTCACTACTCTTCTGTTAATACCATCTGATATACTGTATTTTTTATCTTAGCCATTTCTCTATATTCTCTTTTTAATCCTTTCCTGTAGCATTCTGAATTTTCAAATATAATTTCAAAGATTTTTTTTTATTTTTTTACTATTTCTAATACGTATGTCCATCCTAGATCAGTTTTTATTTTTTCTTTGTAATATGGGTTGTATTTTCCAGCTGATTTATATTCCTCTTCATTTTTTATTAGCTGCCAAAAATTGTAAATTTTACCTTGTTTGGAAGCAGTAATACTTTCACATTCCTATAAAATTCCTGAGCTGTGTTCTAGGGCATAATGAAGTTACTCAGACAGAGTTTTAACTTTTGGAAACTTCCTTTTAAAATGTTAGGCAGAAGCATGGCGAAGGCTGGTCCAAGGATAATTATCCCCCCTACCGAGCCAAGACCCCTTCAAGTACTGTTTCAGTGCCCCAGGAATTATGAAGTTTTTCACTCCACCGGGTGAAAGCCAGCCTTCTTCCTGACCCTGTGGCAGTCCTGTCCCTTCTAATCATTTCAAATGTTTTTTTCTCCAGTCTTAGAAAAAGCACTCAAATGCATGTGCTGATGAATCCTCCCTTTCTCAAAGGAGGCTGAACATTTCCAGACCTCTCTTTGCACAGCAATCCTGTCTGGTACTTTGCCTGTGGTGCCTAACTACCTTGGTCTCCCCGGGTAGCAGCGATACCTCCTCCAGTCGGAGAATCCACTAGGCTTTTTCCAAT